TCAAGAACCGGGATCGTGGAGAGTAAGGACAACTCTACACGAGCCAGCGGCCGCAATATGGCGGACAGCTCTCTTCGCGGCCCCGCGAGCACGCGAACAGCAGCCCGTTTTGTGTAAATTTCGTGATGCCGCGCGTCACTGCCGCTCACTCAGACGCGTTTTTCACTGACTTCTGATGCTTATTTCGCTGTGATATTTTCAGATGTCAAAATATAATGTATAAAGATGATAAAGCAACAAAAAACAGAAAAGGTGAAATTTGGAAAAAAAACGCGACTTTTCGACCCGCGTCTCCCCTTAAGCGCCGGTTTAACATTTTCTCATATAGTTTGCACAAACAGCTTGTTAACGCTATTGGCCTGTAGCTGGCGGCCAAGGACGGGTCTTTGCCTTGTTTAAGTACCGGGATGACTATCGCTTCTTTCCATGACAATGGAATATATCCAGCTTCCCACATGGTATTGAAGAGGGTTAGGAGCGTTTTTAGTGCTTCTGGGTGAAGATACTTGATCATTTCGTACGTTATACGATCGCCACCTGGCGCCGAGTTGTTGCAGTACGCAAGAGATGCTATAAGTTCAGCTAATGAAAATGGGCAGTTGTAAGCCTCCCTGGAGGGACGTTTAGATTTAAGGGGTTGCCGCTCTACGCGTTCTTTGAATCTTAAGAACGTTTCTGTGTAGTGCGATGCACTCGAGACGTATTCAAAGTGTTCGCCAAGGCAGTCTGCCTGCTCCTCCAGGCTCTCCCCTCGGCTACTTACCAAAGGTAGGGAGTGTGACTCCCGACCCATTAACTTCTTTACCCTATTCCAAGCCTTCGTTTCGTCGGTGTAAGAATTTATACCGGAAATGTACCTATCCCAACTTTCTTTCTTTGCAAGGCAACGCGTTCTTCTGGCTTGAGACTTGACCTGTATGAAACTGTTGAGGTTTTCAGCCGTTGGGTAATTTCGAAGTAGTCTCCAGGCTTTATTTTGTCTATTGCGCGCTTTCCGACAATCGTCGTTCCACCATGGGATGCGACGTTTATTGGTCATTCCGTTGGTCCGCTTCATACATTTCACTGCAGCGTCAATAATAAAACCTGTTAGGTATGCTACAGCATGGTCTATATTAAAATCAGCAATCTCATCTCCGTCTAAAAATGTAATTTCTCGAAATAATTCACAGTTGGCTGACTTGGTGTTCCAGCGAGTAAAGTCAGGCGAGCATGTATCTTCTTTTGTTATCTTTAACATAATCGAGAAGTGGTCACTGCCAAAAGGGTTCTTGAGAACGAACCCCTCCAGATATGGAATTATAGCACTCGAGACAATACTCAGGTCTATAGAAGAGTATGTGTTATGTGTAGTGCTATAATACGTTGGTTCTTTTTTGTTTAGTAGACATGCACCTGACGAAAACAGAAAGTGTTCTATTAGGCGTCCTCGCGCATCTAAACGGGAGTCGCCCCATAGGGGATTATGTGCATTTAGATCACCAACGACTATATATGGCGAAGGAAGTTCATCAATGAAGCTTTGAAATTGTGTCTTTGAAAGTTGATAGCACGGGGGAATGTAAATAGAGGTAATTGTTAGTAGCTTCCCGAACAGCACAGCTCGAACAACAACTGCCTCAAGAGAAGTTCGGAGGTTTAATTGCTTACAGGCAACACCTTTATCAACTATTATAGCGACACCGCCCGACGAAGCGGCAGCGTCGTCGGGGTCTTTGCGGAAGGTGGCATAATGCTTTAGAAAGTTAGTTTGTGTGGACTTGAGATGTGTCTCCTGAACACACAGCACCTTTGGAGTATGTTTATTAAGAAGTTCTCTAATATCATCGAGGTTATAGAGAAGTCCTCTCACATTCCACTGTAAGATCTGTGTATCCATTTTAGATGTGTTTTGTGCTGTGTGCTCAAGGATAGAATATTAGCTCACGGACCCTTTCCAGGGGCCATGACACGAGATTTTTCTTTTTTGGATCGGTCGACGGAGTCGCGCCGATCCTTAGGTGCTGGCTGTGCCCTCACGCTCGGTGTTGTGTTCATTGCCTCTTGCGAGGCGCTGGACAGGCGCTCTTGCGAGCGCTGCATTTGTTTTAAGGGCCTCGCCTCAAAAGACGAGACCTTCGCGACCCCAAGCCCGGAGGTTGGTGGGTCTTTCTTGGATGGCGGAGCAGCACTGGCTGCAACCGCCGAGGGGGCAAATGGCATCACCGCTGGCTCACTACGCGTGTGCCAGACAGGCGCCAAGGGCCGTCGTGGCGCTTCCCCCTGACGCGCCACTTCGGCAAAGCTAGTTTCTGGTAGGCAGGACACCTGCCTTCGTGCCTCCTTAAATGAAATGTTTTGTTTTACCTTAATTGCGACAATTTCCTTTTCCTTTTTCCAGCACGGGCATGACCCCGAGTATGCGGCATGTTCCCCATTACAGTTCGCACAGTGAAGAGAGTTTTCACAGGCATCTGATGTGTGCTCTTCAGCACTGCATTTGGCGCAAGTTAGGCGGCCTCGGCAGTTCTGTGAACTGTGGCCGAACCGCTGGCATTTGAAACATCGGAGGGGGTTTGGTATATATGGCCTCACACGAAGCTTGATATACAAAGCCGTAACGGAGTCGGGCAGTACACTTGAATTGAAGGTAAGTATCAGGTGTTTAGTCTGGACTTCTTTGCCATCACGCCTCATCCTAATTCGTTTTACGTTTATGACATTCTGTTCGCTGAAACCCTCCAGGAGTTCAGCCTCCGTCAGCCCTAACAGGTCATCATCTGAGACAACGCCACGGGTGGTGTTCATGGTTCGGTGTGGGGTTACTATTAATTTGGTATCTCCAAATTTCACTAGGTTAGGCAATTTTTCATATTGTTTCTGCTCGCGGAGCTCCAACAGGAGGTCACCACTTGCCATTCTCGAAGCTTTATATCCTGGGCCAAAGATTTCCGTCAAAGACTTTGATACTAGAAAAGGTGAAAGTGTTCGCACTGATTTGCCGGGTGTGTCAGCGTGGATAACATGGAATCGGGGAAAAAATACTTTCTGGTTACCAAAAAACTGGAAAACTTCATCGGTGCGCCCTCTTTTCTGAGGGCGATCAGGGAGTGGGGGGAAGGAACAAGCCATATGTAAATGCTTACTTTCGGCAGCGGCGCCAGCCACCCACCATAGAGTCCTACAAGGGGACGCAGCAGGGTCTGTAAGTACAGGCCCCGCAGACGCCAGCTGTACGCCACCACTATAACCGAATATGGTGTATCCAAGGTAGGATAGCCACACAGGGTTAACCCTTGCCGCCAAGAAACACGGAAGTCAATGGAGGTGAGTAGAGGACAGGAAAGATTTAAAGTGAGAGAAAAGACGAAGATGTGAGGTGGAGACAGGAAAAGGCAACTGCCGATTCCCCCCGGGCAGGTCAATCCGGGGGTGCCGTCTACGTGAAGCCAGGGCCAAAGGGGTGTGTTGCCTCTGCCGGGGGGCCTTAAAGGTCCAATCACCCGGCGTCGGCTCAACCCCAGGATCCCCTTTTCCCCGGACACGGCAAAGCCACGCACGGCGAGGCATGGGAGGGAGTAGAAACTCCCCCGTTAGCTCGGGTCCGTGGTGTCGCTACATACCAAACGCCTACTTGCGCAGGCGTCCCTGCGGGGAGTGCGGACCATGATGTCTCCATCATGGGACAATTACAGGATGAGGATTACATTGCAGACGTCATGCCGACCACAAGCCAAAGCGACAGCAATATGGAAATCGACGACGGCCCATTGCCTACATCCTCCGAAGTGATTAGTGCGCTTGCGTTGGTCCGGCGCTATTGCTTGAATGTGGAAGGTTGCGGCCTCAGCTGCTCCGACTCGTTGGACAACGTGGAGGCCTGCGTGCTGTCGCAGGCAGCGAAGTCGTTGACACAGAAAAAAATCCGGGACTATTTTGTTCCACAGTAGGGCACGCAAGTAAGCCACCATATTAATAAAGTACTTTTCTTCTAGTCAGTTATGGGCATTTGTGTCAAAACCTATACCAGGCCTATATCGAATTATGCTATATATTGAACTAATAAACGTTTTTGGCGAGTTTGATATACTCGGGTTCGACTGTAGAACAGCAGCAAAAGTGTTGTGTTACTGGTACGGCATATTGTCTGTCATTTGTGAAATTATTCTTTTTCTCGTTCTTTATACTTTTACAAAAGCGCTTTCTGCATTTAACTTCGTTTGAAGTAAACATTTGTAGCTTGCAGTTTTCCGAACGCCTCTGTATGTGAAAACTACACTGTATGCCATCACAATATAGGAGGACATAGATCCCTCGCTGCCAATTTTTTTAACTGGTAAGCAATCCTACTCACTAAGAATAGCAAGACAGGCTAGACGTACTAGGGCTAAAACGCACTAAAAGACGAAGACGCAAGAAAGTAACATTCACGAACTGAGCTCTACAAAACTGAACACACTAGCGGAGACACGCGTGTGACAGTGGCAGAAGGCGTGCTTCCAAAGCTGTTGCGTGGCAGGATTTTCGTACTGCCAGAGAAATGGGTCAGTGATTTCTTGTGGCACTTTCCGAGGAAACCACTCAGAGCAGCACTCTTGTCCCTTCCATGACAGACGTGCCCAGTAGACTGGGAGTGGATGCTGATTGATGGGTACGCTTGTTTAGTGCTAATTTGGCTTGCTCAAGCATTTATTTTTTTTTGACAAAACCACTATTCATTTCGAGTAAGCTTCAAACCTCAAATTTACTATTCATCCGTCCATCCATAAAGCCAGAACATCTAGAAAACTTCACCTAGAGCATCAACTTTTCACTCATGTTCTTAGGCTTCTTTGCTGTCGTGGATATTTACACAACTGTCTAAATGTTGGCTTGACACGACACAAGAAAGAGGCTTTGATACAAGCTAGTGCCCTTTAGGAAGTGCACTGTAGCCCAAGTGTAATACGCATCGCTTGCCTTTCTGCGTAAAAATTGGTGCTTATGCTCTCTGACGCACATGTAACCACTACACCACTCACTCCGTTGGTGCTTCAGCTGCGCCTTTTGCCAGTGGACTCCCCGTCTCCTCCAGCTCAGTGCCGTCATCCGGGTCAGACTCCAGCACACTTTCTCCTTCGTCGATGACACCATCTGATTACGAAAGCCATGCAAGGACAATGCATAACCAATGGTAGCACTCAACAAAGGCACGCCTATCGCGCAAAACATTACACCATTGCCACATACAAAACACTGACATTGTCAGATATTATTAGAAGGCACCGCATATAAGCTCGAAGGCTCACATTTCGACTTTTATTATTTGACATCCATCAGAACTTCTTGCTCGCAGACAACACCACTGTTGCTAACACGAGCTTTGCTTAGCGCTACCGCCTTAAGATGTGAGATTTCGGTGCTACTGATACAGCTGTGACACCTGTTATTTTTTCACAGTGCTTGGGCCAGATGGCAGAGTACCCCTTTATCTCGAGACTATTGAAAGAGTGGCAAAAAAAAAAAAAAGTCAACAACAGTATCTAACATTACAGTGGCATTCCACCATATCGGAAATGACATAAACCAATTAAGAGCTTTTGTTGGCTCTTAAGTAGCCAGACTCGTATTGAACTGGTACAGCACATCAGGTGAAAAGAAAGAACGGCCGAGCCAGCCAAATGAAAGGAAGGTGCAGCAACTTTTAACTGGTTTTTATTGCCAAAGCACATCAAATAAGTAGTCTTGTGCAAGTACACAGGCACATCTGAGTGCCCCACCAAGCTCCACCACGTCAACAGAGAACAAAGTTTTTTGGTGAGACATTCAGGTGCTTTTGTGTGCTTTATTTGATGCGCTTTGTCAAAAAAAAAAAAAAAAAAAACCTAGCTGGAAGTTAGCCCTTTGTCCTTTCGTATGACACTGTACTGTGCCTCAAGTACAACAACCTGACTTGCCCCATTTTCAACACTTGCCCACACGTGTAACTGGGCACAAAACCTGCCGGGCATAACCGCCGTAAACGACGCGGCAACACTCACCGGGCGCTTTTGGGCTCGCTGCAGGACTCTGGTTGTCCGCCAGGGGCGTGTGATCATCGTAGTTGGCCGCCACTTCTTGTGGCGGGCAAACGTTTGCCACCAGCCCTGGAAAGCACAGCACCGCCAAAAACCAGTGGGCATTCTGGTTGATGGGCACCACTATGAAGTCCTTGGCAAAGATGTCGACGTGCCGCGTCCACGTCCGCACATTGCGATGCCGTCGTGCTGCGGGCCTGCGAGGCGTACGTGACGAGAGGCTCACACAGAGGCCGACAGTAGGACTTCCTGGTTGATTTATTTGATATGTGGTGTTTAACGTCCCAAAACCAACATTTTATTATGAGAGACGCCGTAGTGGAGGACTCCGGAAATTTCAACCACCTGGGTTCTTTAACGTGCACCCAAATCTGAGCACACGGGCCTACAACATTTCCGCCTCCATGACAGTAGGACTTTTCCTTCATCGGCAATACATGGACTGCTGACAGATGATGCATGCCACTGAATTGATAGCCCGATACCCACAGAACTTTATATTATAGACGCATACAATGGACTCCTAATAAACAAAACTTGGTTAAACGAAAATGCCTTATTAACAAAATTAAATAGGATCATTTAGCTGGATTTATAGTTTCGACATAGTAAAATGCTTCGGTTAATTGAAACACTATTTATTGGTAACCTGCGGTTAAATGGCACCAATGCTAAACACAACTTGTCCATAACGAGAGTAGTCTCACAACCATCGAATGTATAGCCAACGCCATAGCCAGACAAGCCAATCCAGTAGCCATACTGGCTTGTGCCACAGCAGGCGGCAGCAGAAGCTGTTAGCTGCGTTAGGCCTACTTGCGTGACTACATACAGATATTTTGGTACGATGGCGAGCATGAAGAAGTGGCTCCATCAGGCACTCTCGCTTGAAAAGAAGCTCGAAATTCTTAAGGAGCTCGACCGAAGCGACCTGACCAAGACAGAGATGGCGAAGAAGTTCGACATTCCAAAGTCGACGCTGTCGCAAATCCTGAAGAACAAAGAGACAATCGAAAGAACTGTCAAGAATGGAACTTTCTCCTCTAAGCAGATGTGGACGACGCCTCACGAAGAACTTGAAAAAGTTATTTTCGTTTGGTTCAAACATGCGCGGAGTTCGAATTTTCCGATAAGCGGACCTATTCTGGAGCAGAAGGTACGAGAGATTGCCCTGCAGATGGCTGTTGAGAACTTCCCCTTAAACGACGGATGGTACAATCGCTTCAAGAAACGCGACGGCCTTGTTTTCAAGGCAATCCCAGGTGAGAGTGCAGCAGTGAATAGAGACGTTTGCACCGACTGGCAACAGGGGCGCCTTCAGGAAATTTTGAAACACTATGAGCCGCGAGACGACTTCAATATCGATGAGATGGGCTTTTTTATAAGTTGCTTCTGTCAAACATTCTCGCCTTCAAAGGTGAAACCTGTAGTGGTGGAAAACACGGTAAAGATTGAATTATTGTGCTGGTGGGTGCCAACATGGCAGGTGATGAGAAGATGAAGCATTTAGTTATAAGTCGAAGCACCCACGTTGTTTCAAGGGCGTTCGGCACTTTCCAGTTACGTACAATGCTAATGGAAGAACCTGGATGACTATGGCAATTTTTGAAAACTGGCTACGGGAGCAAGATGCAAGATTCATGAGGCAAGGCAGGAAGGGTGTCTTGATTGTGGATAATATTCCTGCCCCTGGTCAGGCTGGTGGACTCAAGTCCATCAGTCTTGAGTTCTTGCCAACCAATGTTATTGCAGTGATCTAGCCAATGGATCAAAGGGTAATGCAGAACGTAAAAGTTCATTACCGCAGACAGCTGCTCCAGCGAATGCTGCTTTGTGCTGACACTGGCCAGTGCTAAAATGTAGATTTGTTGGCTGCCATTCACATTTTGGCCTATGCCTGAGAGCAAGTACAGGCAACAACCATACATAAGTGCTCCCACCATGTGGGCTTTCAAGCTCAAAGAACAAGTACCTCATGAAGAGGAAAGCTCAGCTGATGTTGACGCTGATGCAGTATTTAATCAGGTGGTGCCTTCTGCCTCTCTCACACGACAGGACTATGAGACGATTGATAAAAATGTTCAAACCTGTCGCGAGAAAACGCTTGTGCAACTGATTGGCGAAGTGCAAGCTGACGATCAACTTTCCTCCAGCGATGAGTGTGATGACATCATTGCCAGTGCAGTGGTGCCACTGGACAGTGCAGCTAAGGAGGCTGTTGAACTTTTACAGCACTATTTTGAGCATGAGAGTTGTCCTGACTTTCTGTCTAGCTTGTCAGGCATGGGTGCTTACTTTGTGAAGAAGCAGCTCAAGCATGCCAAGAAACCATACTTCACTCCTTTTTTCCCCACTACTCATCCCGACAAGTATGCTACGGCTGGTGCAAACGAAATAAAGCTTTTGGTTCATGAAATCTGTGCAGCTTGCTTAAATGAAACTTGTGATAAATGGAAAAGTTTTCTGGATCCTCTTCAAGTTCCTGAGCAAGTAAAGTTATGATATGTAAAAAAAAAGAGAGACGGAAGGGGGAGGGATGAGGGTAAGATATAAAAGACAGCATTGAATTCCTTGACAACACACACAAGGAGGTGCTAAAGTTATGGCCCTAAAGTCAAGCATTAATTTCTTCAGAAGAAGAGCCTGTGCTTGTGCACGCAAACTGTTTAAGCATGATGCATCTCTCATTGGATGATTAGAAGCTTCTGCATTCTCATCATGTCTCAACTTGACCTCAATATACTGCGACGTTGTTCAACACGCTACATTTTGAGAACTTTATATATTATTTTCTTAAATTAATGCAACTTAAGACTTAACTGCTCTCACATTTTGAGCATACCGTCTTACTACTTTCACGTAAAAAAATAAACAAGACTGACAGCAAAATTAGAATTTTAACTGAGTTCAGTGAAAGCTTGTTAATTCGACCTTCAATAATTAGAATTTATGGATGATTCGAACTGTAAGTTATGGTCCGACCAAGCTCCATACAAGCCTATGAATAAAAAGCCCATTAATTCGAACGCGAGTAGGTTCCGCCGCGGATAATTCAAACTACGCGCTACTGCGCCGGAGGCTTGGCTAGTCACTCGATAGAGCGGCTCCCGAGTTATGAGGCGGCGTTGACAGGGAGTGGATAGAAAAACGGAGAAACTGGCACGAAGGCCAGAGTGCAGAAAATAGCGCCGCTTACTCTTCACCCCCTCCCCCCACAATCTCTCTCTCTCTCTGCGGCTGCCTGCTCTCCGTCCTACGTAACCTCCAAGATTTGTTTTTTTTTAAGCACCAATCTCGGAGCCTTTGAAAATACTGCGTAGTTGTCGCTGTTAAACGACAGATGGCATGACCAGCACACAGCAAATCGGGTGCGCCGTAGCTTTGCCCAGCCTTCTCAACAGTCTCTGTCTCGGGCGTGCGTTGTACACCTCGGTTGTTGGTGCTGAGAGTAGCTTCCGACTGTTGCGATTCTATGTGTTGGTGTTAGGCCTCGGCTAACTTTTGTTGCAGTAGGGCCGGTAGTAGCTTCCCATCTGTCGCGATTCTGCTACTTCAACTTGATGGTGTGTGCCCGCGGCAAATACCGTGCCAAAACACTTCAGGAGAAAGCTGATATCCTGCGGGAAGTGGATGCTGAACTTTTGCCTAAGCAAGATATTGTGAAAAAGCATGGGATACCGAAAACAATGCTATCTACTTATATAAAAAATAGGAGGACTATTGAAGACGCCTTAGAGGCAGAACTTGCGAGCAAAAGGAGGAGGTTGCGGCCTGCAAAGCATCCTGACCTAGAGAAAGCGCTTCTCATTTGGATAAAGGAAATGCGTTCACAAGACATACCACTGAGTGGTTCAGTCATACTGGCAAAGGCAGCGAACTTCGCCCTGCAGCTAGACTACGATGACTTCGCTGCTTCATATGGGTGGTTGCACCGTTTTCCGTGCTGTGTCACGTGAAATGAATGCCGTCAACACGGAAACGTATGAAGGTTGGCGCTCCGAAGTGCTTCAAGGCTACATGAAAAAGTATTATCCGTAGGACATATTTAATGCGGATGAAACTGCCTTATTTTTCAAATTGCTGCCCGCCAAAACCATCACGTATAAAGGCGACAAGTGCACGGGAGGGAAGAAAAGTAAAGAACGGATAACTGTGATGGTTGCTGCAAACATGACCGGTACCGAGAAGTTGCCTCTGTTTGTGATAGGCAAATCGAGAAGTCCTTGTTGTTCCAAGAACATCTGGTCTCTCCCATCAGACTACGCCGCCAACAAAAAGGCCTGGATGACGGGGAATCATTCGTGCAGTGGCTGGGGAAGCTTGACAAGAAGTTCGAACGCTGTGGCCACAAAGTCCTGCTTCTTGTGGACAACTGTTCGGCTCATAAAGTCAACGTTGAGACAAAGGTCATTGAGCTGGCCTTCCTTTCAGCAAACACGACAGCAGTACTGCAGCCCATGGACCAGGGTATAATTAGAAATTTAAAATCATTTTATCGGCGCCATATCTTGGAAGAAATTATTTTGTGCAATAACTACCAAGTGAAGCCTCTAAGTGCACTACACATGCTTGTGCGTGCTTGGGAGCAAGTGACAACGCTTAGGATAGCAAATTGCTTTCGCCACTGTGGCTTCAGCACTGAAGCTCTGCAAGCTGACGAGCCACCAGTGCTCGAACACGGCGTCACCGCCCCCATGGTGGATGTTTTGGAAGACGTCTGCTTTGCAGACTACGTCGATGTGGACTGAAGTGCAGTGGTGTGCGGTGCACTCACGGATGGCGACATAATATGTCAGGTTAGAAGTTCAGAACCTGTCGCTGCCAGTGACGATGATGAGGAGGAGGACAAAGCACCAGGGCGGCCCTCTGCTGCGAAAGTCATGGTCGGATTGAATGCCGCCCGTCTTAAGTTTTGAAGAAGGCGGAGAAGAGGCCTTCCGCCAAATTCGCTCGTTAGAGTAAAAAGTGCTGGCTGTCGCCTTCAAGGAAAGAAGGAAGACTGCGATCACAAACTTATTCAAAAAATTGTTATGCCCTACTCGCATGTACTATTGTCGTTCTTCGCTTTTGTTAGTTCAAACTTTCGTTAATACGAACTGAGGTGGCTTCCCCTTGCGGTTCGAATTAAAGAGCTTTTACTGTAATAACAATTAACTGAAACTTAAAAAACAACAAATTTCTTCATCTTCCTTGTTGAAGCGTAATATTGAGTGCTTTAGAAATATGCTACACAAATTTGACACATTTGCGGACAGTGCATCGTGATTTGTGCCTGAAAAGGTTAAAATATGACCTTAATTTTTCCCTTTTAATTGTGAGCTTACGAGGACAAAACTCACAACAGTGGCCTCATCAGTTTATTGAAATCGTGTTTATCCAAAAATAGTTTATCAGACTAAACATACTTATTTGGGGTTTAATTTTAGTTAGCGTTCCTGAATTTTCAGCAGTGTTTTCAAGGCCCTGAACGCAGTTGAGTGCTTCTCATTGCAATGTTTCTGAATGAGCCTTGCAGGTCCCATTAAGAGGCTGGTTTCTTGCACTTCCAGTATGCTCAGGCTCTCAGAGCTATTGATGATGAGTTGACAAACTTTACCACCTTGGAAGTGTCTAAATGCGCATGTGAATTAGCACTAGTTTACAACACACTAACTACTACTGCAATCACTCGATTGTAGCAAGAACTCCTTTTCCAGATTTTGGCTACCTGAAGTTGACCCTCATGTTCCAACCAACCACAGACAAATATCTTTAGAGCGAACCTCAGATTAACGATTTTTTTCAGATTAACAACATTTCCGAAAACTCCCTCCAAATGGCACTAGTTTAATGTAAAAATATTTCACTACTACAAATTTCAAAACTACCAACACCTACTATTAACACTAAAATAAAAAGCGCAGCTATACAAAAAACATATATATATTTTTTTTCAAGGACCACAGTGCGGGGTGGGTTCATCAAACGAATAGATACAGTATACGGGATGGCCAGTGAACGAGTGAGCAGCACAAGTCGTCGGCTTTTTCAATCAAGGAACTTGCTAGCAGATGCTGCCTGTGTTGGCGTTGCGGGGAGAGAGATGGGAGGAGCGTAGGGGAGGAGAGAGAGGGGGAGCAAATGCACATGTGCGTAAGGGTGGTCACGCCGCACGCTGGAATGAGCTCGACCATAAGATGCTTTGCTTGGAATTCACTCAGAATCACTCAATAAATATGCACTTTGGACTCACTCTGACTCGGAGCCACCAAAATGTGCCGGAGCCGAACTCAGAAGCATGAGCACAGACGAAAATTTTCTTTTGCCGGACTTACTTGGAACTCAAACTCACCAAAATATCACTCAGACTCCTGGCTCGATCAGAGTCCAAGTGAGTCGAATCATGAGTGAGTTTGCCGACGTATCCACAGACGTCTGGGCTCAATCTCTTCAGAGGTGCCGGCTCCCGCCGGCCGCTGCACATGCCATTAGCCAACAGCTAACGAGCGATACTCCTACGGACTGTGCTTCTTGCCACGGAATGCTGCCACGTGTCCGCTCCGAGCTCTATAGTTTGCTAACACTATGCAGTAATCCATGCTCATCAACAGGATTCACAACGGGAGAAAGCAATCATTCCGTGCTCTCATAGTCAAGACACGAGCTGACAACTTCTTTCACTCGAGCCATCCTTCCATGTGTAGCTCCCAGCACGCTTGTCAGGACGAGAGAAAAGATAAAGCTCTTAACGCATGCCGCAAGTCGCTGTAATTCTGCTTGTTCTTGAGGAATTCGAGAAATAGTTAGTGGCAATCGATTCGTGAGGCAATGAAGTCCAGGTCGTTCAATGATCACTTGCGAAAGTGGCTCGTGACCCTTCTAACACAGATGCTCCACATAAAGTCCTGGACGGGTTTGACTGACGGCAGCACTGCCTAGTGTTGACCACTGTTGCCGAAATATTACCTCAAGAACAGCACCTCACACTTCAAGGCTGGTGTAAGTCAACCTGTTCCAGACTACCAGACTTCAACGAGTTGAAGTTATGCATGCAGACAACTGTACATAAATATAATAAAGAAAAGTGCAAACGCTGTCACAATGCCTGAATTTCGAAACATGGGCTCTAGGGGGAGTTTGTAACTCGTATGGTTGAAAAACTCAGGTTATTTTTTGGTTATGGCATCCATTTCCAACAAAACAGACTTTTCACGGTGCCGTGACGCACTTCTGCAACTTGTCGCAAAGGGACTCACGTAAGGCCCTGCTGACCCGGTGCACGAGGGTTTAGCCGCTGCGTCAGGCGTGGGTAGAAGAATGAGCTGAAGATGTGCGTCCGCTGCCGCACTTCCTCGCTCGACCGCTCCAGCAGCAGGTACCTGCGTAAACGAGGCAAGTTGCATACCGTAATTACTCAAATCTAACGGGCACATTTTTTCCCGTTAAGCGAGTTTATAAACTGCATGCGCATTAGAATCGAGTACGAAAAAAAAAAAAAATGAATACGGTCATTATATTGCCATCGGCATTTCTGAAATGGCCGCCCTCTACGTGCGTCGGCATGGCGCGTCGGCCATTTCTGCCTATGTGTCTCTCATGTGCGGCACTTCGTACGTGTGCTGAGAGTTCGTCATCTTGTAGTGCAATAGCATCGACCGCACGGAAGGGCCGACTCGAAAAACTCGACGAGTGCACCACGATGCCGCTTTTAAAAGAAAAGTCATCGCATGTGCCAAAACGGACGGAAATCGGGCCGCATCGCGGTCGTCCGGAATTCCCGAAACGTGCGTGCGGGACTAGCGGAAACAAAAGCAGAAGATTGTCGCCAACAAATATTCACGCAAAGGCTTCACTTGACCACAGCAGGGTCGGTTTCTGCAAACTGAAGAGCTGCTCGGCGAGTATGTGATTGAGCAGTGAGCGGCACAGCGGCCCGTGACGACAGAACTGCTCTAAGTGCAGGCTATGCAGTTAGCCTTAAAAAAAAAAAAAAAAGGGCTAATGCGGAGCCAGTTTAAAGCGAGCATGTGCAGGCTAACTAACTTTATGAAGAGGAAAGGCTTTTCCCTCGGAACGCGAACGAGCATATGCGAAAAGTTTCCGAAGGAGTACGATGAAAAGCTTCGCAGTTTTCAGAGGTTCGTCCTAAACTTGCGGCACAACAACGGCTACCTGCTTGGACAAATCGGGAATGCCGATCAGACGCCTCTTTACTTCGACATGCCTGGCACGACAACAGTCGAGAAGAAGGGGGCGAACCAAGTTCGCGTGCTGACATCGGGCCATAATAAAACTAGAGTGACAGCAATGTTCCGTTGCATGTCAGATAAACACAAGCTTCCCCCGTACCTCATATTTCAACAGAAGACGCTCTCGAAAGGAGTCATTTTCCAGAGTTGTGTGATCGTGCGGGCCAACGAGAAAAATGGGTGCGCGTTGCAATCAATGTCTTACTTTTTTTTTTTTTCGTCGTGGAAACCGGGTGCGCGTCACAATTGAGGGCGCGATAAAATCAAGTAAATACGGTAACTGCGCTGGCCGCACTAAATGAATCTCTTGAGAAGTCATTTCCTTTCAGGGAATACCCTTCCTGAACAGGTGTGACAAGATGCATCCAGCATTAATGGGAACAGTGTTGCAACCCCAAAAATTGGCATGAAGAGCACAAAATACGCTTAAATACTCAAGAATGCGCAACACCAAACAGCACTCTTGCAAGCATAGGCAGCCTGCGATTCAAACTTGGTAAGGTGAAATGCGCAGCAGCAAAATTATAGAGCAGTACTGTGGAACACTAAAAAAATAAATATAAATAAATAACTGTTGCAAAAAAAAAAGAATTGACAATGTCACAATCCGTACTGAATTGATTTGTACAGCACAGAATACAAAAACACATGGATCGCGCTGTCTGTGTGCGCTTGTTCGCATTCAGTCTTCTATTCTGTAGGCTACACAGATACAGGTTTCCCTTGCAAAAAAAAATTACAGTCGAGCCCACATATAATGGCCCCACTTAAAATGAACTTTCGCTTAAAACGAACAATATCCGCGTGACCGTCGAAATATACATTGGTTCAATGACACAAAATTGCACGTACAACGAACGTTTACAAGCGCCGCTGATCGGTTACAGAAGAATGGCGATTTGGGCTAGTTGGTTACAGCGAACGGATTTAGTGGTCTGCCAACTTCCCGGGAAACCAATTTCGACCATAGATCAGGCATCGGCGAAGTGCCCATACATTCTTATTGTTAAACGCCGACCCTGCCTCCGCGACCCTCAAGTTGCCGCTCTCCCCAACCCATGGAGGAAGGAAAGCTGTTTTCTTCCTCCATGCGCCGACTGCTTTTTGTTATGCACCCCTTCGTCCTTGTTCCCCCAGCTACTCTGAGCACCCCGCATCACCAGACGAGGACCGGGTTTTCACATTGCCACCGATCTTTCCAAGACCGGTCGGCCGTCTACCCTGTTTCTGATCGCTGGCACTCTCGTTGGCGTCGTCGGCCTGGAGTGACCAGATTATTTACCAACATCGTCGGCCACCGACTGTATCCGACATTCTGCGTCTAGTGCACGCGCGTATGCTACCCTACCAACTTTAATAATTTGCGATTCGTTTCGTGTTTAGGACTTGTTCTTGCTTACTTCGCCTTCAGCTCAGCATGCCTTCCATGCGCTTGCGTAAACGCGAAATTGGCTGTTAATTTGCGCGGAACGAATCGCGAAATATCGAAGTTCGTGAGGCCGCGCAAACCCGCCGGTGCAACAAAACGATTTTTGACCACGGCCGCCGATTCTTCGAACACCGCCAAGCGCATGCTTTGACTTCTGCGCGCGCAGGCACTCTTTCCACGTTTTTCTATGTGCAAGTTTCGTGGACCTTTCAAGCAAGCTACCCAACGTGGCATCAGTCAAGAAGTAAGACTCTCGGCCCTTGTCTGTAAATAGCACTTCCCATCGACCCCCATCTGTAATAGCACTGTAAATACCCAAAGGGCCGTTGCCAGCGACCATTTGTGCTCCTTTCCGTGTGTTTTGGTTTTCAAGGTCGCCCTCCCGCCGCATCCTCCCCCCTCCTTATCGCAACTCTTTGCACTTCTCTCGCAAGTCTGCTCTCCCCTCTTGATTAGAACCCCTTCGCCCGTCTCTATCTCTCCGCGAGTCGGTGTTGCTCCGCGACGCCCGCCACGCTGGCTCGAATTAGTTTCGTTTTCCGACTTGAAACAGGCCCAGAGCTGTTCCACGCGTTCTGGCATGTGTGTCGCGTGTGCACGTATTGATCGCTCTTGGTGTGCGTGTGTGGTCATAATGGCCGATGGGAGGACTAGCACGCTTTTTCCTGCCGCTCAACAAAACGTCGGAGGTGTGACCGCTTGGCTTGAGCGTAATCCGCGCGTTAGGTGCCGCGTTGCGGAGCGCTTGCTCATAGCTATCGACCACCTGGCAGCCAACTTGCCGCTTCGGGCGTCCTGGTATTCAGCTGAGCGTGGAGATGGTGAATATTTCGTGGGCGGCGGTGACGACTACATGCGTGCGAAACTGTTTTTGCGCGGCCGACTTTGTCGACGTCGGGCCCGATGGCGAGCCAGAAGTTTCCGAACTGCGACGGCGATTTGTGGCAGTGCGGCGTCGATTCCGACCTGGGAGAGCAGGTGGGACATCTGTTGCGGTTGTTTAATTACAGCCGACGATGAGGCCGACACTGCGAAACCGTGCACGGATGGAGGCATTGTGAATGAAGTACGTGGCGAGAGCGATTTGAAAGAATTGGATTGCGAGAATGACGAAACTTTGAAGCCGGTGCCTTATGCAGCTTATGCCACGGGCCTCGGCAAACGAGCACCCTGCTGTTTTAAATGAACTCGAGACCATCCTTATCGCTTCTCCTCTTCGAAACACGTGCATCACGAACTTTTTGGGGCAAAAAAAGTTCGCGTTTTCACTCGCAACTTTTTGAAAAGCTGTGTTTCATTTACTACGAACTTCGGGATACAGCGAACGGATGCCGCGTCACACTCAGGTTCGTTATAAGCGGGCTCGACTGTATTGTTGTACCTGCCGTAGCTGTAGATTGTACCTGCCGTAGCTGTAATTTTGAGGCCTCGAAATTTAACAGTCGTAAATTTCCTTTTTTTGAGAAAAGTGGAAAAAACTGAAAACACAGAGCTTTTTCAAAAAGCAACAATCATGTGTGCATGTTTTGCACTGCTCATAAAGGCGCTCATAAATTCATAGCCCAGCTTCTAACATAGGTCCTGACAAATTATAAAGAAGCCTTACTTAAGGGAGGACGCGGGTCTTAGAATGGTGAAAAATGGCCAAAAAGTCGATTTTGAGAAAATGCGATATTTGAAATTTTTAGACCTATAAGCACGTGTCCTCAAATTGTGAACGCTGAATTCGATCAGTAAATGGATTAAAATTGATTATGAAGTCGCCACGCGAGCCGCAAAACAACCCATGGCAGGTCAAATTCGTTCAAACTTCCCGCGCACGCCGCCGGCGATGCAGTCGGCCGATCGCCGCCATCTTGGGCTTGTTTTGAAACTGATTCCTTTGTGTGCATTTTGCCGCCCTTCAAAATGGCGTCGCTTAAACAGAACGGCTGCCCTCGCCCCTTTTCCGGAGCCCCCTTCCGGGCCGCAGATTGGCCGGAGGGCGCGCACACCAGGCGAGCCCCCTGTTCCTCGCTTCCCATTGACTGATGCTGCCAAAGTTGCCCACGCTTTTTTTTGTATATTGTTCGTCGGCCGCCGGTTCCCATTCACACACATTGTTCGTCTGCTTCCCGCACGTGCCTGCTTGTGCTACCCGACTGACGCACCAACTTTCCGTCTTTTGCCGGCATGATTGGAGACGCTCGTCTAAAGAAGAAGACATGCCAAGCGTACGACAAGAAACGGAGGCGCCCATGGAACGCCCGCCAGAAGAAAGCAGCCGACAAAGTGCAGCCGGTTTCGCCTGATGCCGCTGAAGCAGCGCATTCCGACAACGCGCAGCCGCGGCCGCTTGTGTCCGAAGCGGTGCACTCTCTTGTGCCTTGCAGCAGCACCTCATCGGATTGTGTCGTCGTCGGATCGTCATCTTGCACTTCCAGCAGCATCCTAGACCTCATTGACATGGCGTTTTATTCGGCGGACGAGTTTGCTGAGGGCGCGAGAAATGCAGCGGGCTTGAAGGCATCACTCGCATCGCAGTGCGCGACGGAACGTAAGTTCGAGTTACTACATATTGATCTGGAGGATGGTGGCAAAAATAACGGGACAGAATTTGTTATTGTTGATCTGGCGGCGATACGCTCGTTATTTGGACTTGTCGCGTGCCCAGAATGCGGTGAAAGAAGCGTCACTATTGCAAAGGCCAAGAAAGAGTACGGGCTGTGTTCGAAGCTCATAGTCACGTGCGGCAGTTGTGACATTCGCGAAGGGCGTTTTTCGTCCCCACGTTTAGCCGACGAGACCGACGCCAAAATAAGGCAGTTCGAAGTTAATATGCGTGCCATGAAGGCTATCATCAGTACCGGCAAGGGGGCAACGGCTCTGTCGGACTTCTTCGCCGGGATGAATATTTCGCATCGAGGGCTTCACCACAGGAGTTACCAAAGCCACATGAATATAATGAAAAAAGCCTGCTGTGCGACTGCTGCTGAATGCGAAGCGGCGAGCGATGCTCACGTCAAGGAGCTCTATGCGAAGTTCGGCAACGCGCCCGGAAACGTCGACGTCATTTATGACGGCACCTGGCTTACGCGTGGACATAGCTCGCATATATGTGTTGGCTGCATTGTTGAGATGTATAATGGCCTTGTGATAGACCATATCGTGCTATCGAACTTTTGCCTGGCTTGCACCACAGGACCCAAGGAAGGAGAAGCAGGACATTCTGCCTGGCTCATTCAGCATGCCCCTCTGTGCCAGAAGAATGTTGATTGTAATGCTGGCCAGATGGAAGTGGAGGCAGCACTACGCTTGTTTGAGCGGTCACTTGAAAAGCACAAGCTTCCTTATACGACAATGCTGTTGGACGGTGACATCTGGACATTCCATGCACTCATAGAAAAAGACGTGTACGGCTTCATAAAGGTGGCCAAAAAAGACTGCATAAATGATGTACACAAGCGTATGGGAGCTGCCTTACGTACCCTTGTAGAGAAAAAAAAAAAGCTCAAGGTGGCTCACTTGGTGGAAAGGGCAGACTTGAGCAACAAAAGATAAAGAAGAACACCTCATACTAAGGCTACGCATTGAGAAGCCACAGGAACGATGTTCCAGGTATGTAGAAGGCTGTTCTAGCAACTTTGAATCACATGTCTTCAACTGACGAGGCACCAAAGCATGACCTTTGCCCTGAAGGCCCTGAATCCTGGTGCAAATTTCAGAGAGCTCTTGCGAAAAATGAGAAGTCGCCACCGCACAAGGACAACCTGCCTGATTTCGTAACTGAGGCATTGGAGCCTGTGTTTAGGCGGCTGAGCGACCATGCCCTCTTGGAAAGGTGCAGCGATGGGATCACCGAGAACCCAAGTGAGAGCCTGCCCGCTATGATTTGGCAGCAGGCCCCCAAAACTCAGCATGCATCCTTGCGGAGCACTGAAAGGGCAGTTGCCGAAGCCTTCAGCCGCTTCAACCAAGGCACAACCAAGAGCAACGTGAAAATTGCCGAGAAGCTGGGCTACAGCGCTGGCAATAACTTGGTGCGTCGCAGCCTAGAGAAGGACAAGGGCAGGCTGCGAAAATCGCGAAGAGAGCATCTCGACAGCAGTTCAATAAAGGAAAGATTTTCAAAGCGTCACAAGCCAGCAGGGGACTCTGCTTACAGCCCTGGTCTGCTGTAAACAGTCATGATGGCAAATAGGGAGAATTTTTGCAAAAATAAATATTCTTCGTTATAGAACTAAACATTGTGTAAATCTATTGTCTATCCAAGGGCAACATTAATACATGATTTTTTTTTGTGTTCCTTTCACTTGCAAGGCACTGGAACGACCACAAAGCAAAAAAATAATAATTCTCATGCTGAGTCAAGACTATATTATAGTTCTAGAACCAGCTGTGAGCAGTATTCTGGGTGGGTACAGTGAAATTTAGCATGGCCATTTATCCTATGATATAGAGCTACAGAATGATGTCATTAATATCGCTGTAGCTTCACTTTAGCAAAAGTTAAAGTTGCTAGAAACTTCAAACGCGTTTTTCTCAGATCGATGTTTTTGCACATTGCACTCGGCCTTACGGGGGTTTTTCCCATGTTAAACTTGAGTGAATGAGACAAAGTTGGTATCATTTTATTCATCTTGACATGATCTAGAGGGTGATGCTATTTCTATTTCTCTAGCATCACTTCAAAAATTACAATTGAAGCTTTTAGTGAGAGAAATTTATTGTAATATAGTGACCATAAGTGTTCGTCCGTTTTCTTGCTTATAAAGTGCCTTCAAATGAATAAAAATAGCAACACCCCCTACAACAAGTTTCCAGCATTGGGATTATGAACTCAATTTGTGGATTTAGCAAGAATAAATTGCCAAGAAGTCCCGTAAGAAGTACGCAATTAAGATTTAGACCTTAAGATTTTCTAAACCGCTCGAAATATTAAGAAACAAATTAGAGATTTGAAATCAGCATGAAAAACTAGCTTAGGTAGTGAAGTTTGGTTAAGATTGAGCAAAAATTAAAAAATTTAGAACCCACGTCTCCTCTTAAAGTCGGTTCTCAATTTTTTTTTTTTTTAAGGTTCTGCATGTTAACAGCACCAAGAATCTGGACAGTTAGAATAACATTACAAAAAAATTAGCACTTTCTGGTGTGTGAAAATTTGCAGAGAGATAGAAAAATAGTTGCAGAAACCTAATATGTCAATTTTACAAAATGAACTTTTTTGTCACTTTTTAGTTTTAAAGACCAGTCTGCCCCATTAAGCAGTAGTTCCGTTTAACAGATTTCCGTTTACTATGTGTCTACCATATTCGCTTGGAACCTAAAATTTGCTCTTCACACAAGTACTTTGCCCCATACAAACCCATTACATTTTGAATCAAGACCAACTAGCCTGGCTGTATGTTATGTTGATGTCACAATCCCTAGCTGAAATGCCCAAAGAGGCCCAATTGTTTGTTTAAGCCCATCAATGTCAAGTAATGAGAATGGCTCACTTGAGGTAGAAGTCGATTATAACATCATTGAGGAACTGGCCTTCTCGCAGGCAACGCAGGTCAGCACTGTGGACTGGGATGCCACCTGTCTTTGGTGGCGCGGGGTACACCAGCAGCCTGGCACAAACAGAAATCCATAATTTATAACATAACAAGGCCTTTGAACCCTGCAGAAACACAAGTGCCCAGTACACTGACTTTAAGACAGGTCAAATCTCAATCTAGATTTGCGGTATTTTCTGTGGCCACGTGTTCGGCCATTCCCCATCATGCAGCTGCTTGTTTGTGCCATTCTTTCTTTCTCTGCACACACCTTTCAGGACTACCTGAGTACTGGTAGTTGCAGATTGTAGCATTTTTTAGTAGAACACCTGCAGCTTTTGTAGATGCTTGCAACTTTTACGGAGTGAAGCAGTGAGCGAATATGGCATTTTAAATTCAAAATGGTGATTTTGAATCCACTATATAGGAAAAATCAGTGCTGTTTACACTCTTCGAATATACTTTCATTGCAAAGAGAGGTTATAGGCAAGCAAAAAGTGCCCCCACCCCCCCTCCCCCACTGCCCTTTCACAGCTACAATAATGGCAAAAAAAAAATTGTGTTGCAGAAGCACCCATCCACTAGTCTTTTTAAATCATCAAGTGGCTCCAAGGAAAGTTTAGTTGGCACTGTGCTGTAAAGGTTGTTTTTCTGTACTTGCACGATTGCAATGCCTTAACATGTACATACCTTTAAAACACTCAAATAATCACCACTAAAAAAAAAAAAGCATGCGAGGAAAAGGTTAAGACGAGAGTATTGCTACTCACTTTATGTTCGGTCCCGATGAACTCTCTTCTTGCGATGACCCCTGGGTAAGCATGTAAAAGGAAATGTCAGTTTTTGTGAACTCAACAAAAGTAGGGCAGTGGATAAACATCCACCTGTCCGCCACGTACAGAAAAGGTAAGCCCACAAGGCAGTTGTGCTGCTGTTCTGCCCCAATCTTTGGAACTGGAACTGTGGCAGGGTACTACCAAACATCCAAAAATAAGTGAATGCCATGTACTCAAGCAAATGAGCTTTCCAGCAGTGATTTTAACTTACTGCAACAGACAGAAAGAGGATACAAAATTGTCTTGTCGAAACTCAATGAAGAATCTTTAGTCTCAGTGACTAGCCACATGGCACAATGTTACAATAGAGTTCCCTATTCATGATGAAAAATGCGACACTGCACCCTAGATACACACTTCAGACCTACCCACATAAAAAATGAGTGCTGTATTGCATTGTTTTACAATGCACTACTTTGCATTCACGAATGGTTGAACCCCTTTAAAAGAGGCATGCACAGGGCAGCAATTCTTACCTTTTATATGAGGTGTGTGTTATAAGCAGGGCACCACATACTATGCATTTTCTTATCAAACCCTATTTCAATGCAGGCATACTCTTATACCCGTTTGTCTCTTTCATCAGTGTCTTTTATAAAGGGGTTCAACAGTACTAACATGATGTCTCTAGCCTCATAAAGCTTGATAAAAGCTGGGAGTGCACACACATTCACAGAACTGGTAAATCTTTGCAGAAGTTGGAAATTAGGAGGCAAAACAAGCAAAACAAGCAAAACAAGCAAACAAGCGTACACACATGCACACCTTTATGATGCCACATAACGACTTCAGCAATCGAGCCTCTAGGCCCCGAGTGGAAGACACAAGGCACTACCTTGCTGTAAAATCGTCAAATTAAATATAGCACAGATAGCGTACTGGCAATGAGACATAATGAAGTGCAATGTACGTGCAACCACAGTAGATGAGGATTAACCGACTACACGTTGGGTAACTGACTTCGTTCACTGCAGACACTTTCCAGTGCATGCAACAAAAAGGGCATCAAGACGAGGAAGCAGGCGAGAACGCTCGGAACAACACACTTGACAAGGTGTTCCTTCAGATGTGTTCCCGCACATACCAGACCCCCACACAATAAACACATGTCATATCCATGACCTTCTTCACTTAAAAAGGCCTGGATGGACTATTAGAGGCCAAGAACAAAAAAGACAACATGTAACGAATTCCAAACCCATGGGGCTCGGAATGAACTCGTAGCTGCTGATCAAACGAAGGTGCATTCATTCTTGGGTAGCAGCTAAGTGGGTATGCTAGGGTAGTACAATTCCTTGAAAGCTTGTCAGGGGTACCACATACAGTGCACCCAGCCGCTGCCCATCGGTTTCTCATGGACGGGAAGCTACAGCACAACTACGCGGCTGGCCGCTAAATAAAGATTGATAAAAAAATTTCCAGCATTCCCTACGGGAGCAAAGCCTGCAATTGATCACAGCAATGTTGAAGGCGAGAGCAATCGATATGGAATAAATGTCAATTTCCACACGAGAGTTTAATCTACGAGCATACTTCGAGTAGTGCGATCCTGTCAGTGCAAGTGATCTTGAAAATTATCATACAGTACTGACATGCTCCTTAGACGTGATGAGAGTGTGCATAAGGTATCAAGACATGGCATACTGTTACAACAAAAACAAATGCTTTATGCAATCAATACTCAAGCTTAACTAAACTGGGAAACACGGAGAGAAGGAGACAGATAGCAAGGAAATATGGATCTTACTGCCAACCAAGTGCACGGCAGTGAGAGAATGACTGGTTGAGAAAAATGAATGACTCAATTATGATGAGATCTGCCATCATGAAGGAATAAAAATGATGTGAAGTCATGGGTGCAATAGTGCACTGTGCATTTAAGCTTTAACAGTGAGACAAGAGCGATGAGAATGGACATAAAAGCTAAACTAAGGTTGAAAAACTAACACTCATTTGGGTTTTACATACCAAAACTACCATAGGATTGTGAGGGACACCGTGTCAGAAGGCTAAAAAAATTTCAACCACCAGGTGGTCTTCAGCGTGTATATCAATGGGACTCCACTATTTTGCCTCCATCGAAATGAGAAGGCTGCAGCCGGGATCGAAGCTCCGACTATTAGGTCAGAAGCCGAACACCGTAACCGCTAGATCGTTGTGTTGGACGAAAGGATGTACAGTCAAACCTCCTTATAAGAGACACTAATGTAATAGAAAAATAAGAGACACCAGTGTGCCTGCAGTAAAGTACGGACAGATAAGAAAATGCACACACTCAAACCTCATTAAAACGAAGTTTCATCTTTCATAATGGTATGTTCATTATATCCGAAAATTCGTTATGAAAAGTTCATTTCTTTCTTAGCGACTGCCTTGTTAGCAGCTGCTTTCCACTGGGCAGAGGAATCAACATGGTACAAGTGTCGAAGGTACTGTGGCTGCCAGAAGCAAAAGCGACGACATAGAGGAGCACAGAAAGAGCCTTTCAGACCGAGCATACAAACAAGGGCTCTCGAGGACGGAAGAAATAAAGCCAGCAATATCTGTGAACATGCAGGAGCTGCCTATTATGGAGACCAAAGAAGCTTGTATTGCTTCATAGGAAGCTCTATCAAGAAGTTTTGAGCCAAGGAGAGTTTTTCGAAAGAAACAAACTATCTCCGACTGGTAATGGAGGCACACAAAAACACACTGCACATGTTCAACAAGTTCTCGCTGTACCATGCACTAGCTACGTCCACACCAGTATGTGCAATAAGACCTGAAGAAACAACATGGACCTACCAATGAGTCTTTATCCCGGTTCTCAGGGCCTATCACAGTACACTATGGCAAAAATAAAAATTCGAGCGACAGCTATTCTAACAACCACAACCACAGCCATTTTGCAGCACTTCATTCAACAAGCTTCAAGACATGGGTGCAGCATGGAAGCAAGCCAGTGCAAGGTATCGCATACGCAAGTGCAGGAGAGGAACCATCCGGCACACCACCACCGTCTACAACTATCAGCCATGCCCAGCGTGAAGGAGTCAGTGCGCGCATCTGTTGTTTGTCATGCCTACCACCAGCACAGCACCGCAGGAGGCAAGCCTGACCTGTTCACAAGTGGCCATCACCGAACTGCTGCTCGACACGGCAGCGACTGCCGAGGAGCTCGCGGAAGAGGAACGAGTGGTCCGCGTCACGATGGCGGTGGAGTTGGGCACGCTGTGAATCACCACGTGCGTGACGGTGGGTGCCGAGCTGGTCTGTGGCTGGGCCGCCGACGGAGCAGCCGACGTCGCCACTACTTCACCCGTTCTCTGCAGACATACGTGTTGGGTGTCGGAGACAGGGCCAATCAACGCGGCAAGCCATATAGCGACCAACAGTGCACCAAGAGTGCACCAGGAGTGCGCAGCAGTTGCTGGTGCAAGAATTCCCCACTTGTGTGCTTAGGAAGGCACATGAACAAAGTGAAAGTTTGTGTATATTTGCATGCTGATCTCAAGTATGAGATGACTTTTCTAGCACAATGTATATTTTTGAAATACATTATACATTTTTTTCCACGTGTCCTTTTGGGAATAAAATTTTTTCCTAAACTGAGAAAATTACTACAGTCGAACTCCGCCACGATGAAACTGAAGGGCCGCGGAAAAAATTCCTTTGAAGCGAAAATTTCGTTTAGTAAAATCGAAAAAATATAGCCGATCTGAACCAGCAAAGCGAAGGAATGTTTATTCTCAAAGTTCAAAAAGTGTCCCCTGCTTTTTATTCTATTCCAGCAGCGTCGCGACGCGATTCTCACCTATGCATAGCGAGGCCATGGTGAAAAGCACGCTGAAACAGCGACTACAATCGCTTTTGTGAATGAACCAAACAGTTGCATTAACACGTTAACACCAGCAGCTGTCCGCCATCAAAACGCAGAAATGGCAGCAGGGTATCGTGAAGCGGTGACTTTTGCCTTATTTTATGCCATTCTTTTCATTCATCACTCGCGGCTAGCTGATTTTGTTGATAATGCGGACAGATAGCCGCTCTGATAAGCCACCAAACTGGCCAAGCGCGAACAAAAAGATAAGCATTGGAATCGAAAAAGGCATCGTTCCGCAGATGCACCCAGCAGCTGCGCGAAAGAAACCATGAACTAAGCAACTGAGCTTCAGCTTCGGATCGTCTGCGGCTATACAGTAAACCCAAGCGAAGTCTAAAACACGGCTTAACACTACCAAAAACCATCACTGTTCAGCAAGCATGGGCGCCGGCATTGCTCGATAGCGATGCCAATGAGACTGCCCCTCTTTTGGCAAAGCTGGGCAGTCTCATTGCTATCGCTGTCGAGCAATGGCGGCGCTCATGCTTACTGAACAGCGGTGGTGTCTGGTGATGCCAATGCGTGTTTTGGACTTTGTCGACGTATTTTCGGGTTCTGAAAATGCACCAAAACGTTAAATATTGGGTTTACTGAATAGCAATAAATATCTGAGCCTGTAATCGCATTGTGAAATTTCGTTGAAGCGGGATGGCAGAAGAAAAAGTGTTTGTTGTGGCGACAATATTATATGCATTGACTCCTACGGACTGCTGACGGGAAACTGAGAATTTTTCGTTGTAGCGGGAACTTTGCTAAAGCGGCGTTCATTGTAGCGGGGTTCAACTGTATTCAAATAAACATATCACAATAATCTGAAATCAAAAGAATGTGCAATGCAACAAAAAATGACACTACCATGTTCTGGCGCTACTAATGCTAAGCAACAGTAGTGCGTAAGGTCATGCATCTTGTTTAAACAGTCTGAAGGAAAAAATTGGCGATACCACGGGGACCTTCATTAGAAAAGCGCATTGAAGAAACGTGCTTGGAAGCATCTATGTGTGCTGCACATATGTTTCTGGTACAGTCGACCCCACATATAACGGCCCCACTTAAAACAAACTTTCGCTTAAAACAAAAAATAACCGCGTGACCGTGAACATATACATTGTTTCAATGAAACGAAATTGCACTCACAACAAACGTCTCTGAGTGCCGCCGATCGGTTACAGCGAACGGAGTCGGTGCTCTGCCGATTTCCCGGGAAATCACTTCCGACCATCGATCAGGCATCGGCGAGGTGCCCATACATTCTTACTGCTAAACGCTGACCCTGCCTCCGCGCCCCTTTAGTCGCCGCTCTCCCCGACCACTTTTTGTTACGCAGCCCTCCGTCCTTTGTCCCCCCGCTACTTGGAGCACCTTGTATCACCAGAGGAGGCCTGTGTTTTTACACTGCCACCGATTTTCTGAAGACTGGTCCCCGTCCGCCATCTCCCCTGTTTTTGATTGCCGGTACTGTCATTGACGCTGCCAGACTGGAGTCGCCAGACCATTGGCCAACATTGTCTGATGCGATCACCTGCGTCTTGTTTAATCGTATCGTTCTAGTGCATGCGTGTACGCTACCCCACCCACTCTAATTCGCGATTATTTTCGTGTTTAGGACCTGTTCTCGCTCACATAGCACTCGACTCAGCATGTCCTCCACACGCGCGTGGAAGCGGAAAAACGGCTGTTAATTTGCGCAGAATGAATCGCGACATATTGAAGTCGGTGAGGCCATGCAAACCTGCTGGTGCAACAAAACCATTCTTTGACCACGGCCGCCAGTTCTTTGAAAACTGCCGCACGCTCCGATCCAGGCAGCCGTGCTGGGACCTCTGCGCGCAGGCACTCTGAATTTTTTTCTGCGCGAGAGTTGAGAGTTTGGCGGACCTTTCAAGCAAGCTGCCCGACCTGCCTCCTTCCTGCGGTTTTTGGTTTTCAAGGTCGCCTTCCCGCCGCATCCTCCCCTCTCTTCACTCTATCGCAACTCCTTGCCCTTCTTTCGCAAATCGGCTCTCCTCTCTTGACAAAACTCCTTCGCCCGTCTCCACTGCTCTGTGACGCAAGTCACGCTGACTTGAATTCAGAAGTTTTGTTTCCCGACTAGAAACGGGCCTAGAGCTGTGCCGTTCTGTGGCTGTACCACGCGTTCTGGCGTGTGTGTTGCGTGTGTGTTGCGTGTGCGAGTCTTGTTCGCTCTCGGTGTGCATGTGTGTGGTCAGGATGGCGGACAGGAGGCCCTGCACGCTTTGCACGCTTTTTCTTGCCGCTTAACAAAACGTCAAAAGTGGGACCGCTTGGCTTAGGTGTCGCGTTGCAGAGCGCTTGACCCCCTGGCAGCCAACCTGCCGCTTCGGGCGTCCTGGTATTCAGCTGTCGAGATGGAGAATATTTAGTGGGCGGCGGCGACGGCTACATGCATGTGAAACTGTTCTCACGTGGCCGACTTCGTCGATGTCGGGCCCGGTGCCGCGCCTGAAGCTTTCGAACAGGACCACTGCAGCAGCGATTTGTGGCAGTGCGTCTTCGACTTTGACATAAAGAATGGGTGGGACATCTGTTGAGATGGTTTCATTACGGCCGATGATTATGCAGACACTACGGAATCGTGCACGGATTAGGACATATTGAAGTACGCGGCAAGAGCCATTTTGAGAAACCTGATTGTGAACACGGAGAAACTTTAGAGCCAGTGCCTCATGCAGCTTATGCCACGGGCTTCGGCGAAGAGCACGCTGCCGTTTGAAATAAACTCGAGACCGCCCTTATCGCTTCTGTTCTTGGAAACACGTGCATCACGGACTTCTTAGGGCAAAAAAATTTGTATTTTCACTCGCAACTTTTTAAAAAGCCGTGTTTCATTTACTACGAACTTCCGGATACAGCGGAAGGATGCCGCATCAGGCTCAAGTTTGTTATAAGCGGGCTTGACTGTATTCCTGGCGCTGCTCGGATAATCATGTCAGCTTGGTCTTTCTTCCGCACTGAAGCTGACATGAATTCTTGCTGCTTTAGAAGCTATTTAGAAACGACTTTTCATGATTTTCACGATTTTTAAGCTTTTGGAGCAGCTTGGCGCAGGAAAACGGAATCGCACAAAAAATGTGCAATGTGCACACCTGTATCAGCCATGACAGCAGCTTAATATTGGGCCAAATTACCAAATTCCGTAATTGATTTTTGTCTGCCCACGCTTCTGAATTATCGTTTCTTAAAGCACTTTCTGAAAGAATTGAGTGGTAACATTTTGCCAGAGCACAATTTGGACCTGCATTGTGGTTTCCATTTCTATCGATTTTACGCTATTTGGAGACCACACCTCCCTTTCAATGTGAATTGCATTGATGAAAAAATCCGCATACCTGCGCAGCACAAGAACCGTATGCTGTTGCATGAGGCATCAGCTGCAATGGAACGAAATGTGAATGAAATCAGTGGTTGCCAAACTCGGAGGACGCATAGCAACAGAAACCTGCGACAAAATGCTTACCATACATTTGTTCTTCTGAGCAATGAAACGCCAAAATTGAAGCAGGTTAAGAACATTACCATTACATTCTGGAGGACGGCAAACAATCTCATTAAGGAGTTTTGACTGTTAAATTTACAACCTGAAGGTGAAGCAATGCGAAAATGCCAAAAGACGCAGCAAGTGTAAGCAGCAGCACTATGCGGCTCTTCGTTTAATCTCAAGTGTACTTTAGATCTTCAATTTCACTTTTACTAGCTGCAACGCATCAACAGAAGTTGGCTTTCATGCTTGGATGCGCTTTGATGAAGACATGTTGCAACTCCCCGCCAAAATGGCACTTTGACAGCACAGGACGGTGCAATTTGCGTGGCTGTTCCACCCCTATGCGTGGGAATCCGTCACATGCACACCCGGCAATAGCAGTTCACTGAACAAGGGCATCATGGAAAATGTGAACTTACACTTTGTTAACTTATTCATTCATTTTATTGTCCAAAGCACCAGCAGGTGTTGTAGTGAGAAAGGGTATACCTCCCCTTCCCCCAAAAAATATACACTCAGTAATGCTACTGGCTTAGGCTGCTTTGGAGCAGCAAAACTGGCTTTCGGAGCAGATAAAGCTAGATCAGTTTCGAGACACCTATTGTGTTCACGAAAAAATCCATAAACAAGGGTTGGGTCAAGCCGACATTCCGACAAGCGGTCTTGTCTTCGTAAGAAGAGAACTGCTCGGTTATAGCCTTGAGAAAGATAAGTTCGCTCGTCGAAATCTCAGCCCGACATAACCCCTGTTTACGAACTTTTTTTTCATCGCATGGTTCCATCCAACCCTTCCTGCTGTTTTTTTAATATTGTGTTCATGACACACAAATCATATAATTACAATGTGCTGCACGCTATTCAAGCATAACAGAGTAAAAAAGAAATTACATCACCGACAGATAACCTGACCATATTTAGTAGACAAAGCCAAAGATAAAATTTAAAACTTCCTTACAACGTGGCTGAAGGTCAGTTGACTGCCGATTTTTCGAACACGAGCTTTTTCAGACGTGCTAGCAAATTCAAACGATTTTGAGACAGCATCACTAGCTTTATGGGCGTCTATGTATAAAAATGCCTGAAATTTTCGATGCTTAATTTGATTTTTTGGGCTTTCAGTCGATATTTCAGGTAAGACACAACATTACTTAAAGCCCTTTGTTATGTCTATGACCTCTTAGGCTTATAAGAACACTTTCAAGAGTCGTTTAGCGTCACAGAAATTTCCAAAAGTCAGCTTTGCTGCAATGTACATGTGCTATGTGGGTGAAGCAGATAAAAAATTTTTTTAAAGGGTTGGTATTATTGCGCAATGAGGTGATGTCTAATGGATAAGCACCGGAATACACACGAGATGCACCGGAAATGCTCGAAGGCGTGATGACGGCAATGCAGCGAACACGCCAGTAAGACTTACTCGCTTTATGATAACCATCCTCAGCTAACTGTTTGTTACTGTTTGTTACCGACAACTGTTACAATACGCGCAGTTGTCGGCATATTGCACCCTTTTAATCACTCACTCGCGCTGCTGTCCACCCTGACTTTCTGTGCGAGCCGGCGTGTGAGTGTGCGATCAGGAACGGAGTGGGCATCAAGAACACATTTTAACAATAAACACGTACGCATGAAAGCGCAGCAGTAGGAGCAGCATCAGCTATGTAGGCGATGTGCTGCACACCACTAGGAACTATCGGTCTTGTATGAAAGCAAATGCTATGCCGGAGATTTTCGTACAGTGGTGCATCTTTTAAAGGGACACTAAAGCCAAATAACAATTTACGCCAGAGTGAAAGCTCAATGTATGACGACATCTAAAACGACAATATTATCGACAACAGTGCCCTACTGACCGAGAAATTCAGGTAAATGCACAAGAACACAAGCGCCACAGTAGGACATTTTCAAAATGATACCTACGATAATTAGTGGTCCACCCACAATTAATCACTAGTAATTGATCTAACTGCACTAAATAAAGCACCTTCCTTACATCAAAAAGCGCAATAAAATTATGCTTGTTCATTTCTGCTTGATTCATGGAGAAAAGAACCGCCGGACGTTACTATGGGGAATGGCGCAAGTGGTTCAAAAATTCAATTTTTGCGTGATTACACAGGACATGTGGTGCCATCTAGAGGGGTTCGGTTGAACCAAAACACATCTGCCATTTCAGAACCAATGGAAGGAAATCGATCAATGGCCGTTGTTGCTTCTGTGGCTCCCGCTGCTTTTGGTTTGCTGCTACTAGCGCAGTAAAGTAGAGTAACGTTGTGCACAGAAACAGTGACGTGAATCAGTTCGGTCGGTCCGCTTCTCGAGGCGGGTAATTTGAAGTGTGCTAACCCGATGCAGACCACTGAAACGTGATTTTATTTCAAAATAGGCCTTGGCACAAAAGCAACACTACGAGGTTTCTGGGATGCTATTTCCACAATAAACGTGGACTTAATATTTTTCTTTAGTGTACCATTAGGTGCACACATGCATTGCAGAGGTCTGGACAACAATTGCTCTATTCTGCAACACCCTTTATGTTCAGCGTCATAGTTTATACATGCTCCATGCGACAAATCAACAACTTATTTCGCGCTTTGCTGGTACTATCGGCGGCAGTCATCATGTGATGCATATTTGCAAATGGACGTCGGCAGGCCCTCAATGTATTTACGACAGCCTAAGCGTGCCCCGATATGCCTGATAATTGTACTCTAGGAGGCATTCCAGATTTTGCAGACGGGGCTGTGGTGATTTGATTACTTGAGTGGAATAAAACGTCATACATTTTTTCCCGGACAATTTCCCGGTACCTAGAAAGTGCGAAAAATCTGGCATTCGCTGCGTCCAAGACATCCATGGCCCCAACAGTGACATATGGCCCAGTCTGGCTTGAACGGACTCGGGTTGCGTCTTACGAAGGTGTACCGCGATGTCATTTTCAACAGGAGAACCTTAAGTAGTTTTGTTTCTGGAAGTCGTTGGTGCAGGTTCGGCCCAGACTTGCAAGACACAGTGCCCGTGCCCCCCCCCCCCCCCCCCGAAAGAATCGTCACAAGCCCCACATATGTCAATGTACAACCTCATTATAGCAAAGTTTGTAGGGGTGCCGACACCCCTTGTAAAGTTGTTTGCACCACGTGGCACACGTGTCTCGCACAGAAGCCATATTTTGGGGGTGACAACTATTGAGCGATAGGTGGTGGTGTGTTCGTGAGCGGTGATCACCACTATCATCATCATGGTTGATAGAGCGGTAGCGCCGGCGGTGAATCCTGGCGGAAGGCAAGCCTTGGTGGCGAGCGAGAAAGTTGAGCGAGTCTCTTCGGCTGGTGGTTGCTCTCGGTTGCTCTTACGGCGTGTACCCTGTTCACGGAAACGCGAGCCATCTGCCGGGGGCTCGTGCGGTGAGTCAAGCATTGGCGACGCCGCCTTTTTTGTGCTCTTGTCTTATGTTGCTACGTGCTGAGTAATATTGTGTAAGGATGTCTTAGCGGGTAGATCACGATTGACATTATAATAATTCGGCTGACGATAAAGTAGCTGAAATAAATGTGCATGTTGTTTGGTCTGTTCCGATCGCGTCTGCTGTGTCAGTTCACTCCAAGAGCGTGGTGGTGACGCTCACGAATTCGATATTCCACAAATTGCATCTTGCATGAAAATAGGTTTTTTATACAGTATAGACCACTTATAACGCAAGTCCCGAATATGCACACAATAAGTGGTACCACACAATAACCAAAACAACCTTTTTCAAGGGCCACACCTGCGCAAAACATGTTGAGCATGCAGCCTCGCATGCCCGAGAATCGAAGCATGAAATGTGTGGTGGTTACCGAAATTGTAAAAAAATTTCAACGTCCAAGAAACGCGTTGCCAACGAAATGAACGCGAAAAAGGGGGAGGTGCCATAACAAAAGAAAGCATCATCGCAAAAATTCGTCGACTACTTCTCAGACCATCTCGATTATGCACATTACACCGAAAGCATGTCGAGTCACATCCAGAATTTAACGCATTGAAAAACGTGAATCGTTTGATTTCACAGGTGCGCACCCAAGTTCAAGACAGCACAATTGAATCACGAATCACCATGTGAGCGCTAGACGTGCCACCCTCGTTTTCATTAACAATATGCATTCCTTCCTGTCGAGTGCAGTCACCGCAAAGAGTTTTATTGATTTCATACAAAGCCACAGCTTATAAAATAGCACACAACCGCTACCGAAACACAACTAATGACAATTAGGCCTAGCCTGCCATTTGGCATGTTGTCGCAGGAAGTCTGTCCAAGACATGAAGATCTGGCATCGAAAAGATCACACTCAAGCACTGAACCAAGAATAGCATGCATGATACAAAGTTCGTGTTTCTGTCTGGGAGATCAATAACGTCGAAAACCAGCCAAGCTTAAGTAAGGCCCAAACTAGCAGCAAAGGCGAAAGCTCGTGTCATAGAACCGTAAAAGGTTCTGAATTTACGGGCGAGGTAGCAAACGCGATATCTGTAGCAAGCTTGATACCGATGATGCTTTTCACGACAGGAAACTCTTAAGCGCAGTTGATAAGGACAGGATTTCACGTGTATTGTTGAGCCGTGCGCGGCCGGAGTGACGCTTGCAACGTGTACACTGTAGCCGCGTCGGCACCAGTGCAAAGGTATATCCATTACCTTCAGCGAGCCTGCGCATGTTAGACTCGTGTTAGACACATGGTCCAAATGCAAACGTCATCGGCAGAGGCCGAGAATCTGTTGGACCAGATGACATATCGAATGCCTTCTTGAAACGGTACGTGGAGTGGTGCGCGAAATATTTGTGTGTGTTGTATACTAGGTCTTTGAACGAAGGGGTACTTCCTGAGGACTGGAAGATTGCCCGAATTAAGGGGG